CTAAGGTGAGTGGCAGTGGGGTGGGACTGGCGAGTGGGCTGAGTGGCCTATCTCTGTATCCCTTCCCCCAGCCGCAGGCTCCGGGGAACTGGAGCCATGTTGCAATTGGAGACCCATGGCAAGCCAGGGGGTGGTGGTGGGGCAGGACTGGGGACTGGTGAGCGGGCAGAAGATATCTCTGATTGCAGGCTAGGCCTAAGGACCCTACCCTTGCACAATTTCATGCACTGGGCCTCTAGTTTAATAATATGCTTCCTTTTTGGGAAATGGGTTATTTTAAAAAAATATTTGATAAAAAATCTTTGCCAATTTTACATTGGTATTATTTTAATTTTAATAATATAAGTAAATTGTATCTTTTATATGCTTATTGGTCACTTATTTTCTTCTATACATTTTCTACTTAAGTCCTTTGTTAATATTTAATTATATTTATGTTAATTTCTAAGATCTTTTAGTATTTTAAGTATAGTTCTTTGTCTTTGTGATATTCTCACATACTTATTTTTTATGTTTTTTATTGTATTTTAATTTTATTTCTTTTTAATTCACAGAGTTAGAATTTTATGTCTTCTACTGGAGGCCTAGTGCAGGAAATATGTGCATTGTCCCTTGGCTTGGCCAGCAATTGAAATGTGAGTGTCTATCGTGGAAGGGCAGGTCCCAGCTGACCTCTGGGCAACATCTGGGCCTCCATGCCCCCATGGGCCCCCCTCCATCTTAGTCACGGCGCCCAAGTCCCCATGTAGAGATGTGGTGAGCGTGGCCAGACACTGTGGGCTGGGGCACAGCATGGGCTTCTGGGCTGCCAATTGGAGCTGCACAGAAGCCGGGCAGGCAGTGCCCTCTTTCCTGGCCAGCCTCGCAGATCAGCTCCTGCATGAACCCACGGGGAGCCTGACCGGCCCCTATTGTCCCAGTGGCTACAGCCCGGCTCACCTGGAAGAGGCTGTGCAAGCCCTGGCGTCCCAGGGGAGTGTAACAGGGGGAGTTAGAGCAAGCTTGACAGACATTCCGTATTTTCATCTCACCTCCATCCCTGTCACCCCTGCCCCCAGGTAGCCAGAGAGAGGTCACAGCCCCTGGCCGGGCACCGCAGGAGGTTGGTCCCTGCCACCCATCCCCAGTTCCCAGTCCCAGCCCGGAGTCTGGCCCCGATCAGGCAATCAGGGCCTGTGGCTGCTGGCCACTGACTGCGGGGTGATCAGCAGGGTAATCGGGCCCCTGCTTGCACTTGCCTTGGCCTGGCCCGCCCACTCACCTGCTCCAACATCCCGCCCTGGTCCTGTTGTTGTTGAGGTCCATTGGGGCCGGCAGCATCTCCATTGCTGCCCACTGCTAGTGCCACGTTGCCAACGACCAAGTTCTGTGTTTCCCCCTGGTGGTCAGTGCGTCATAGCAAGTGGTCAAACTCCAGGTAGAACTCTCAGTAGAGGGGACAATTTGCATATGGGGATTTTATTATATAAGATCTTCACCCTTACATTGAAATTGCTCTCACTAAAATTACCAATGACTTAGTAGTTGCTATATTCAATGGGAATTTTTTCAGACTTCATCTTCTTTGATCTACTAAGTTAGGAACAAAGCCATGTCACAATTTAGTTATTTGGTTTATGTTGATTTGAAACATCTCTGCTATCTATAAAATAATAGTTTTTAAAGTTATTAAAATTATAAATAAAATTACATGCCACCCAACAAATTTTTTTTTGGTAAAATTAAATGTAAATAATTTGGCAGAGGCAAATCCTTTTGGTTTTATGATTATAGAAATAAGCCCAATATTATGTGAAACTAAGTGCCAGACCTGAGTCAAGATAAAAAAAATTAGCCCTAGAGATTGATAAAGAGTCAGAAGTACAGCATGACAGGTAGGATTAAAAAACATGAGGCTCTGAAAAAAAGTTGTATTATTTTCTTAGGGTTTCCATAAGAAAGTACCACAAACTGGATTAAAACAACAGACATTTATTCTCTCGCAGCTGTAGAGGTTCAAATGAAGGTGGTGGCAGGACCATATCCCTCTGAAGCCTCTAGGGGAGGATCTTTCATTGCTTCCTCCAGCTTCTGGTATCTCTGGGTGTTCTTTGTTTTATTGAAGCATAACTCCAATATCTGTCCCCATCTTCACATGGCCATCTTGCCTCTGTGTCTTTTTGTAGTCAAATATTCCTCTTTTTATAATGGTACCATCTTAACTTGGTTACATTCAGAAAGACTCTTTCCAAATAAAGTCACATTAGCAGGCACTAGAGATTAGGAGTTATCTTTTTGGGATACACAATTCAACCCATACAAGATGTGAACCAAATGAATTGGAGAGAGTTGAATTCTGAGAGGCTGCCAGAACAAGGGATAAAGCACCAAACCCTAAATTGACAAGATAGATTAATGATTAGTTGGTTAGGTAGATCATCAGGGCAAAAGGAACATTTGTGAATATTAAAAGATATCATGAGAAACTGCTACATGAAATCCTTCATAATTCTATTTGAAATCTCAAGTAAATTTTAATAGATTATTTAGGTGTGCTAATTTTCTTTTATGAATAAGCTAGTGCAAAATAGTTTCTAGTATAATTAAGAAAGATCAAGTTTTTCATTATTTCCTGAATGAAAAAATAAATATTAAAGAATAGGAAATTGCTAATTTAATTTAACTGAATTAGAAATTCAGTGTATGTCTATGGAAAATTTGACAAAATTTTATTTAAGTTGTGGCAGCAAAATTAGTCTTATACATGCAGTTATATTAACTCAATTATTATAATCCCTTTTTGACACTTATTTCTTGTTATAAATGAACCCAAAATAGACATTGCAGATACTAAGTAAAATGTCAGAAATTTGAGTATAAAATATACATGCGATATTTTACAGACGCAATTACAAGGAACATTAGACACAAAGAGGATGATAATTAACCTAGTTTTCAAACTGTATCAGATATGATTAAAACCTATGCTAATTCAATTGTAAATGACCATTTGAAAGATATAACACAATGAAGTAGAATAGACAAAAATTAGAGCAGAAGAAGTTGAGATAAAAGACAAGCAGTCAGGTATAAGGCAATGAGGGGATAAGGACACATGTGTAGTACCTTAATCAATAAAGAAAGGGGGGGGGAACAAGCAATCAGAATTTTTGAAAATAATGGTTCCTTCAATCTAATAATTTTCCTTCAATGAACAAATATTCACTGATCCCTTCCAAGAGACAGAGGGTATTTTAGGGGCTGGGTCAAAAAATGTGGAAAGTCCTAGTTCATGGCTAAGATGACCTGGCTACAGTTATGACTAATGTGTATCAAATAAAGGGACTTATTCAAGGATACTTTTATATTTCCTCGAGGCAATGCAGCATTAACATTTTTAAAATCCTCAGCTTAGAATATGTTTATGTTTATTGATTTTTTTTGGGTGGGGGGGAGAGAGAGAGAGAGAAAACATTAATGTAAGAGAGGAACACTGATTGGTTGCCACCCTGACTGGGGAATCGAATCCATACCTAGATAAGTGCCTTCACCAGAAATTAAACCTTCCATCATTTTGGTGTACAGTAAAATGCTCCAACCAACTGAGCCACCATTTAAAAAATATTTTCAGGTTAATGAAGTCATAATGATTGTTTAAATATGCTTATTACCTTTTTTCCTTTGATTATACTATATTTTTAAAGTCTATTTTCTCCTCTTGAACTTTCTTAAGACTAAAGAATTATGGTTTTGCACATCTTTTGATCAATGTCAATCTTTCTGGTAAAATGTTTGTCACATATAAATTAAATTTTTATTTATATTCCAAATAGAATATAGTGCCATTTACAGTTTGCTAAATGGGGTTTCTATTTTTCAAAGCTTCAACTTAATTTTTTTAAATTTTCATTGGGAAGTTCATTTCTATGTGGTTATTAAGCAGAATATGTAGTGATTACATTAAAATATCTTTATATTCAACATTATTTATTTGGTAAACTTTAAATGAAACTATTTTCTGAAATAGTTGAAAACAAAAATATCTAGCATGGCATACCATCTATACCTATACCTATACCTATACCTATACCTATACCTATACCTATATCTATATCTATATCTATATCTATATCTATTGTATATCATCTATATCTATATCTATATCTATATCTATATCTATATCTATATCTATATCTATATCTATATCTATATCTATATCTATATCTATATCTATATCTATATCTATATCTATATCATCATCTATATCATCATCTATATCTATATCTATCTATACCTATATAACAATGGAGTAGAAAGAATATAAATATATATATGTATATATATATATATATATTTTTTTTCTACTCTGAAAGACATAAGAAAGGTGTTTACAAGGATATGGTCCTCAGAACTCAAATTTTTCAAACAATATTAGCTTTCAAATTACAAAATCATACATTGATTTTGTCAAATATCTATTAGTAGTTGTTTTCTCCAACAATTGAAAATAGCTTACAGAGTTGTGAATTCTGCAATTTAACTGTTTTTGATTGTAGGATGAAAAGAACAGAATTGAAAGTTCAAAAGTGTCAACTTTAGTTATTAGCCAGCAGCATCACTGGAGTTTACTTATGTTCCCATGATAGATTCTTTTTCAACTTGATGTTTCAAAAGTAGATCTCTCACTTGCAGCCATTTCCCAGGAGTGTTTACCAAGTTAAAAAGTGCTGGGAATACCATAGATGGAACATTGTAGTGAGAATTGCCTGTGATGTCATAGACACTTGAGGGAAACTTCTGGAAGTGAAATGTAGTCACAGTAGAGACTAAATAAGTAAGATGCTTACTAAGTAAGGTGGGGTCCAACAAAGTGTAATGCAGAATTTAGTAATTTATAAATTACTTTTTCTTTCTGAAGAAGCTCAACTGAATAACACTTAATGAAGGAAAGTAAAGGCTTAACCATTTGGTACATTGTGATTCCTGCTGTTAGTAAAATTTGAAATTCAGCAGTTTTGAATATGGAAGGAAGTGATAAACCTGATCAGCCTATCTCAGCAGGGAGGCAAGAAATTCGAAAGAAAAGAAAACCTAGCCAACCAATGGTAGACAAATCCCAACAGACTGAAGTGTCAGAGATAAAGAAGTACTTGCCTACACCACAATCAGGTGGCCCCAAAGCTAACCTTAATATTAGTAATATTCCTGAAAGCAAAGTCAACTATGAGTCTCTTAGATTATCTTCTCAGCTTCAGCAAACTTGGACAAAGAGAAAGCGTGTGCAAGATAAGGCTGATAAATCCATGCAGACAGACTTTACTACTGAAGAGAAAAAGAAAACCAAGCCAGGTGATGCAACAGTGGTACCTAAAGAAAAGCCAGCTGCTGTTGGAGAAGCAGCTTCTGAATTTCCAGAGAGTGTTCATGAAGTAGAACTTCCACCAAGCAAACACTCAAAATTAGAAAGATCTGAGCAAACCAGTCATACTGGAGACACAGACAAAGAACAGAAGAGCTCAGGTGAATCAAAAATAGTTGGCAGGCCAAGTGGTTCTTTTTCAAAGTCAAAAGATATTGTGCAGCAACGTAAATCCTCAGGGAAGATTTTAATTACTGAGCATCCTGCATTTCAACCTGCAACAAGTAGCAATGAGGAAATTAGGAAGAAAAGTATCACTAGATCTTCATTTAGTCAACAAATAAAAGAAGATAGGCCAGTACTTTTAGATGGGCATGACTTTGCAGTTGAAGTGCAGCCTCCCATGGTAGAAAAGATCTCTGCTAAAATACAATCTCCACCAACTGAGAAGACTACTGCAGAAGACAGCCCTGGTGAATTTAAACCTCCACCAGCTGAGGAGGCTTCTGCAGAGGCCCCTGCTAAGGTAGAGCCTATCCCTGTTGAAAAGTCTATTTCAGAAGAACCTCCCTCTGAAGTTCAGCCTCCGATAGTTGAAGAGGCCCCAGGTGAAATTGAGCCTTCCCCAGTTGAAGAAGCTCCAACAGAGGAGGCCCCTGTGGAAATTCAGTCTTTACCAGCTGAGGAAATCCCTGTAGAAGTCCCTGCTAAACAAGTATCTAGTCCTGCTGAAGAGGTTCTTTTAGAAGAGCCTTCTGCTGATGTTAAGCCTCCATCAACTAAAGAGTCTTCTATACAGGAGGCCACAGGATTTCAATCTCCACCACCTGTAGAGGCCCCTGCAGAAAAGGTTCCAGCTGAAGTTCAGCTTCCATCAGGTGAGGAGGCTCCTACAGAGCAGACCACTGCAGGAGAGGCTCCTGTCAAAGCTGAGTCTCCACCAGCTGAGGAGGCCCCTGCAGAAAAGGCCCCGGTGAAAGTTCAGTCTCCACCAGCAGAGAAGGCCGTGGAAGAAGAGGCTATACTTGAACTTCAAGCTCCGCCAGCTGAGGAGGCCCCTGCAGAAGAGGCTACACCTGAACTTCAAGCTCCGCCAGCTGAGGAGGCCTCTGCAGAAGAGGCTACACCTGAACTTCAAGCTCCGCCAGCTGAGGAGGCCTCTGCAGAAGAGGCTACACTTGAACTTCAAGCTCCGCCAGCTGAGGAGGCCCCTGCAGAAGAGGCTACACCTGAACTTCAAGCTCTGCCAGCTGAGGAGGCCCCTGCAGAAGAGGTCCCAGGTGAACTTCAAGCTCTGCCAGCTGAGGAGGCCCCTGCAGAAGAGGCCCCAGGTGAACTTCAAGCTCTGCCAGCTGAGGAGGCCCCTGCAGAAGAGGCCGCAGGTGAACTTCAAGCTCCACCAGCTGAGGAGGCCTCTGCAGAAGAGGCTACACCTGAACTTCAAGCTCTGCCAGCTGAGGAGGCCCCTGCAGAAGAGGTTCCAGGTGAACTTCAAGCTCCGCCAGCTGAGGAGGCCCTTGCAGAAGAGGCTACACCTGAACTTCAAGCTCCGCCAGCTGAGGAGGCCTCTGCAGAAGAGGCCGCAGTTGAAGTTAAAGCTCTGTCAGCTGAGGAGGCCCCTGCAGAAGAGGTTCCAGGTGAACTTCAAGCTCTGCCAGCTGAGGAGGCCCCTGCAGAAGAGGCCCCAGGTGAACTTCAAGCTCCACCAGCTGAGGAGGCCCCTGCAGAAGAGGCTACACCTGAACTTCAAGCTCCGCCAGCTGAGGAGGCCTCTGCAGAAGAGGCCGCAGTTGAAGTTAAAGCTCCACCATCTGATGAGGCCTCTGTAGAAGATGCTACACCTGAACTTCAAGCTCCACCACCTGATGAGGCCTCTGTAGAAGAAGTCTCTGCTGAACTTCAGTTTCCACCAACTGAAGAAACGACTTCAGAAGTTGTCGCTGCTAACAAAAAACGTGCATCATCTGAAGAGACCATTATTACACATAGCTCTACAAAACTCTCCGATGATGAAGTTCAGCCTCCAACATCTAAAAAACCTTCTGCAGATGAGACTCTGGTAGAGAATGTGTCTACTGAATATCAACCTTCCAAGACAATAGATGTTCCAGAATCTGTGATTGTAAAAGAGAATCCAAATTATGAAGGGTCTTTACCAGTGAATACTGTTCTTGAATAGGTTTCTACTATTGAAATAAAGCATCCACCGTATAGAACTAAAGGAGGGGCCTCTTCCACAGCTGTAGTAAAATCTTGACTAAGCTAGCTATCAGAGGCAAGGGGGTTCTGGAACTAAATACTTTATAACAGGGTAGTCATTTGGAAGTAGGTTTGTGAACAGGGAAAGAAAAGAAAACCCCAAGATATGGCCTGCAGGTTGGAAAATGAATAATAAAAATGAGTGGTTTAAAATTACTTGCTATTTTCATTCAATCCAGAATGTACAAAATGCACTTATTTTGAAATAAAATACGTGTATGGTTGAAATAATTACTTAAAGTATCCTATTTAAATTAAACCCTGTTGACAAGGGTAAAGTATAAAGCCATATATATTTTCTCTATATGTAACTTGTAGTGAAGAAGGCATTTTCTTTTCTTCAGTTCTCTTATCTACTTTAAATTCCTTGAGTTTGAGTCACGTATTTACATCTATGTGGTATTTTATTTCTCCTTAGTATAATTCATCATATCATTTATTCTCTTTCCAGTTGATTCCTTCTGAGACAGACATTTTTATCCTGTTTCCACTCCTATCTTTTTGCATATCTTATATTTCAATGTCTGGATACATAAATTTATTTATTTGGAAAAAATCTTCATTTCAATCAAGATAACCATAGATGAAGTATTTAAAAAGCAGTATTAAGCATTAAGAAAAATATACTTAGATTGCCTTGAGGCCAAATTCTTATTTAGTTTTATCATCATTTTAGGTTACAATGTGATGGGGCCTTTAGAAACTAGCCTCATATTTTTTTGCACTCTGATCTGTGGTAGAGAGAAACTTAGGATAAAATTGAATTACTATAGTATAAGTTATTCACATTTTAAAAGAGTAATTATGAATTATTTTGTCTATTATTAAATGGCATCTTCATTTCTATGATCATGATAACTTTTCAGAGAAAATTTTGTCTAGCTATAATGTTCTAGTTACACTGTTCTGAAATGATGAAGTGATTCTCATAAATATTTCAATTTGGTAAGAGTATTTTGTTTGTTTGTTTAGTGACAACTCTAGATTGATAATTTGATGATTACAAACCTTGTTAAGCTTTGATGCCTTATAATTATTAACTTTTTCTCACATTCTTCATTATATCTATAACCAAGAGCTTGTGATACTTTAAAGTAAAATATTCAGAATTTTACAAAAAATTTGTAAGCACAATTGTCCCTTGGTATACATGGGGGATTGGTACCAGCACCCTCCAAAGATAAAATATGACAATTATCAAGTCTTTTACGTAGAATGATTAGTAAAAAGTATATAGCTGATTGAAAATACTTTTTTAAAATCATGGTTAGTTAAATTTGTAGATGCAAAACCAACAGATAGAGGATTGAATACATGTACTTTAAAAAAAAAAAATTCCCAGATTTGAGATTGGGAAATGTTATTCTAGACTTGAATGAGGGTTGTTTTTCTGGTATTTCAAGTTCTTTTTATTTTATATTTTTGAGATGTTTTAAATCCAGTTAAACTTATTTTTCTAAATTTGAAAATTATTTAAAAAATAATTTTAGATATTCTATTATGGCTTATTTTTCTGTTTTGGATTTGATATTTTTACCTTCCAGATTTATTGAGATACTAGTGGCCTTGTGCACAAAATTTCATGCACTGGGGGTGTCCCTCAGCCCAGCCTGCCCCCTCTCACAGTCTGGGAGCCCTCATGGGATGTCCTACCTGGGTGGGGAGCAGGCATAAGCTGCAGTCTGGCCTCCTTCTGCAGGAGACAACCAGCTGATCGGGTATATAGATTCTTTCTGAAGGCAGCTCGGACTCCTTCCTCATTCCTTTCCTCTGTGGTTGGAGAACAGGGTACTAACAGGTGGAGACAGAATTGTGCCTGGGCCTGGGGCTTTTGTAGGCAGCGGGGAAAAAAGAGAGAGGGCTGGGAAAAGTCTAGACACGGTTTCCTTCAATTGTCTTCCCTTCCTCTGGGCCTCTCCCTCCGTTTTTTCCTTGTTGTGGTGGATTCTTGGGCCTTGGACCCACAGGAGCCCAGCCATGGTAGGGTTCATCCTCCTTACTTCTCAGTTGAATGTACAGCCACCTCGCATTCCAAGCGGGGCTGTTGTCAAGTAGCTAAAGCCCTGGGAATCCACAGCTTCCAGGGTTTTCCCTCCCAGTTTCCTCTTTGGGTCCTTTGCAAACTTCACCAAGACATCGAAGCAGCTCTGCCCTGGTAGTTCTGCACCGGCCCCCACCTGGGCCCCACCGGGCACTCTTCCTCGAGGTCTCCAGGTCCACAGTCTGTGCTCGGGAAGGTCGCCCAGAGCCCGTTTCCCCGGGGCAGCGGGGCTAGTTTGAAGAGCTGGAGGAAGATGGCAGAGTAAGAGCTGGTATGAACCATTGCCTGTTCAGCCAGACTTCCTAAACTCCCCACTGGGCCCTGGCTGGGCCCCTTCCCCAAGCCGGGAGTATTCCAGCTGAGGTCCCCTCCCTGAACCCAGCTCCCTCCTCCCTGTTCCACCGCCAGGGGGGCAGGAGCAGCTGGCCCGCTCTGGACCCTGCCAGCCTGGCAGGCAGTAGCGCAGGGGGTGCAGCCTAGGGCACCAGTGGCTGCGAACCTCCTCACCCTCCCTAAAGCAGCTCGTGGTTGGCCCCAATTGCTGTGCATGGAGACACTGCTTGCCACTGTCCGGCCCAGGACCTGTGGGGCTGAGGGGACCTCAGGTTCCCACTGTTCCCACCGAAGCCAGACTCCGCTTGGCCGGCCATCCCCACCGGAGGGCTGCCGTGCCCTGTGGGCCTCGGCACCCTCATGAATCGCTGTCCCAGCCATCCCATCCCAGGAAATGCTCATCCTGATTAGCATGGCTCACTCCCCAGTGCAGTCAGGCCTGCCCAGCAAGCGCAAAGGCAGGAGCTGGGCCGCGGAGGAGAGGGAGGAGGAATGTGCAGGCCGAGCAGAAGCAGAGAACTTGGCAGTGAAAACACAGCCCCTCCATGCTGTGCTGTCCTCGTGCTACATTCCTCCACCCATGGGTGCTCCTGCCCGGCACCATGCTTGCTTTCGGGCCTGGGGTGGCGTCAAGGGACCTGGGGTTGTGGCCTGGAGACGAGCCTCGCTGGGTTGGAGTCACAGTGGTTGGCCAGGGAGTAGGGTGCCATGAGGCAGCCTCATGCAAGTCCCTGCTACAAGTCTCCACCTCTCTCTCTTTCCGAGAGGTCAGCAGTTCAGTCCACTCAGCATGCTGAACATGCAGCCTGGCATTCGGTTGAGCCTTTGGTCATTTTGGATGTTATGGACATTGGCTCTTTATATATATAGATAATTGACTTATTGTGTAAATTTAAGATGTACAATGTGATGATTTGCTATATGTAACATTATAAAATACTTGCTTCATTGAGGTTAATACATCCACGACCTCACATAATTAAATTTTTTGAAGTGGTGACATAATTTAAAAGCTAATCCTACCTAATAAAAGAGTAATATGCAAATTAACCATCGCTCTGCTACACCCATAAGCCATGTCCATAAGCCACGCCTACCAGCCAATCAGGAGCAAATATGCAAATAAACCCAACCAAGATGGCTATAGCCACAGAGAGCAGGAGGGAGGCTTGGGTTTCCCAAGCAATGGAGGAAGCCAAGCTTTCCACCTGCCCTTGCTGGCCTAGGCCTCCACTCAAGGCTACAAAGTTTCAATTATAGAAGGTAAACAAATCCAAACAGAAATGGCAGCAGCCATGGAGCTGGAAAGAGCGGGAGGCTAGGGTTGCCGCTAGCAATGGAGGAAGCCAAGCTTTCTGCACACCCTAGCTGGCCCAGGCCTCTGCTTAAGGCTACAAAGTTTCAATTATAGAAGATACACAAACCCCAACAGAAATGGTTGCTGCTCAGAGCAAGCAGAAGGCGTGGCTTTGCTCTAGACTACAAAGTTTCAATTGTAGATGATAAATAAACCCCAGATACCAGGGCCTCGGCTTGGGTAGCCAGGGGGTGTGGCCAGCCTGCAAACCACCGCAGGTTCCTCACCCAGGCTGCCCCATGCCCAAAGGGAACCCCCACCCTGATTCAGGACATCCTTAAGGGCAAACCAGCTGGCCACCACCCAAGCACCAGGCCTTTATCCTATCTAATAAAAGAATAATATGCAGATTGACCATAAATCCAACACACAAGATGGTTGCCCCCTTGTGGTCAAAGATTCTGTCCCCATGTGGACACAAGATGGCCACCACAAGATAGTCAGCAGGGAAGGGTAGTTGGGAGGGACCAGGCTAGCCGAGGGGGGAAGTTAGGGATGACAGGACATGCAGAATAGGACAGATGGGGGGACCCAGGCCTGCAGTAGAGAGCAGTTGGGGGTGACCAGGCCTGCAGGGGAGGGCAGTTAGGGGTCACCAGGCCTGCAGGGGAGGGCAGTTAGGGGCAAACAGGCTGGCAGGGGAGCAATTAGGCATCAATCAGGCTGGCAGGGGAGTGGTTAGGAGGTGATCAGACTGGCAGGCAGAAGTGGTTAGGGGCAATCAGGAAGGCAGGCAGACTAGCAGTTGGGAGTCAGCGGTCCTGGATTGTGAGAGGGATGTTCCAGATTGAAGAGGGTGCAGGCTGGGCTGAGGGACCCCACCCCCTGCGTATGAATTTCATGCACTGGGCCTCTAGGGTAAGTATATAATACAGTATTTAATATATAATATGCACTCACCATTTGATATTTTAGATGCGCAGAACTTATTCATTTTATAAATGGACATTGTATCCTTTAACCAACATCTCCCATTTCTCCCACCTCCTAACTTCTAGGAACCACCATTCTACTCTTTGTTTTTATTAGTCCATATATAAATTATACCACAAATAAATTTTTGTCTGACTTATTTCATTTAGCATAATACCCTGAAGGTTCATCCATGTTATCATCAATGGCAATGTTTCCATTATTATTATTATTATTATTATTATTATTAGGTCTAGTAATAATTAATGTCGTTTTC